TCCTATTTATAATATGAAGAGATTTGTTTGCACATCTTGTGTAACAATGAAGCTTATGTGTTGCAATAGAGATGCACTAAACTATTTCTTAAACATTAGTTCAAAATATTAAGTTTATAGAGACATTAAAGAGCTTATTTATCCTATTTCACTCTGATCATATGGTTTAATTCTTTTCGGTTCTGAATACCGTGTCTAAATGCTAGTATGTCTTTTTCATATTCAATTATCAAAAATCACTATTTTGAATGTTTATGCTGGCTTTTACATTGAACTATAACTTTTGTCTTTACATCATGTTTGCATTTCCTGTAGTTTGACTAGTATCATTTTCAATTTTAGGCTTTTCATGGTTGCTAATTTTTGGCATCTAGAATTGATAGTAGTAATTAAATTTAGTTAATGAGATTAACTACAATAACATATATATGTTAAGTATTTGTATTTCAAATTTAGAAGGGCTCATACGAAAAAACCATCAACATTGCAAAAATCTGCATGCAATTTCCCAAATAAATAGAAACATAATTTAAACTTTTTAAATAAAATTAAGTAATAAAAAACTTACATCTACAAAAAAGGAATTATATTTTGGGTTTTTTTGTTCAATGAGTTTTTGAGAGAGATCAGAGGATCACACTAGAATATGACATAATATAAAAAATTAGCAAAAAGTTATCAATTAAACCATTGACCTTCCAAATCTAATTTCATGAACAAAAACTTGAAAAAAGGTAATATTTCAGTTCAGATTGACTCTCATGAATCAAACTTGGCTAATCTACTATTACTGTTTTACTTGTGATTATTTGAGATTATTGGAGTTATAAGAAAGAGCGGAAAAAAAAGGGAAAGATGATGGCCTCAACTTTAGCTATCCCTAACATGGAACACTTCCCTGGCCATGCTGTCGTGGCCCAAGCATGAACTCACCACAAATCCTTTTAATACTTACAGTAGAAAATGTTACTTGTACAAACAAATGATTTGCATAACTAAAATGATGAATTTCTCGTATGTCATTTATATATATTGTTGTTCATGTTACCACCAATTCTTTTTCTTTCTCCTCTAACAATCAAAATTAATGGTAAATTAATACTGTTTAGGATGTTGGTTTCATGTTAATTAGTTCTCACATTAGTTCTGTGCTTGTAGTTAATCTGTGTTTGTTCTGTTCTTCCCCTTTAATTAACTTCTGATTTCTATTATGATATAGTTTTTGTATAATACATTCTTTTTGTAAATTAATTTTTCTTATACTCCTCAAATTTGTCTGAAGAAATGATTTTGCGTTGTTTTAGTTGCCTCTTAATCTGCAATGGCTTTGTTCACTCCATCAGGTCTTGTAATGCAGAAGGATTTGCTGACTTCAAGCGATCGCTCAACGGGATGCCATCAAGCATCTATCTTTTCTCATTCAACTAGTAGCGTTGAGAACTTGCTCTTTCTTGGAGCACATCCTGTCTCCACCAATCTACTATGCAAACCATCATCTTTGACAAGACACCCTGAAGGAGGCCATTTTTAGATTTACCCATGAGTGGCAGCCAGTGCTATTTATTTGATTCTTAGAAGTTTTCAGCTTCATGTGGCAACAAGTTCTAGCTTGATGATGTCAGTGAATCTCAATAGTTTATTCCAGATATTTTGAATGGAATATTTGAAATGGCAACTGTGATGGAAAAGATTGAGAAGATTCATTGAGAAGCAAAATGCTAGAGGGGTATCTTATGGCAGCTCTGTTTGAGCCATCAACATCAACCAGACTTTCCTTTGAGCCAACTATAAAAAGGTTAGGAGGAGAAGTTTTTGATTACAAAAGAAGCACGTGAATTTTCTTCAACCACGAGGAGAAACTCCTGAAGGTATGATCTTAAATTCATAATTATGGATAATTTTGTGGTGTCCAGAATTGTATAAGGAAGACTTAACGAGTGGAAAGCATGATTTGCAGATATAACTACAGTTGAAGGTTACACAGATAATTGTTTTAAAACACTTCAAACGTGGAGTTGCTAGATGGCAGCTTCTACAGCCAATATTCTTTTTTATAAAAGCTGGGATGATCAAGGACAGCATCCAACACAGGTAAAAGGAATAGTATCTCAATGTTATCTTGTTCATGAAGAATGATAAAAACAGAAGAAAACAATTGGAGGTTTTTATGCTGCATTTTCTCTCAGATGATTCTGATGTATGCATGATTTGTTGACAGCCAGGTTTTCTATGTACGGAAGTTTGCTTCACCATTAGAACTACAGGGGAAAAAATACTTGAAACCTCAACGAATTATGATGACATAATTGTTCTTACTTGTCAGATTAGGAAGTACATTACTTCATCAGAAAACATTCCTTAAGGTTGCTGTGAATTCTTTGAGGTCATCACAAGGAAATAGAAGTCAACCGGTTCATGATGCTAGTTGTAATAGAAAAATCAGATATTGGTATGAATTGCTAGCCTCAGTGTATAAGTACTATCGAGAGATATTTCACAAGCTGATAAGCACCACAATAATGCATTAATTTTCTTCATGTACATTGTGAACAAAGCTCTGGTTTTCTAGAAGTGGCTTTGAGGAGTGATGTTGCCTTATCAAGCTTGCGTTCAGAAAGAAAGATTTGGTGAGATTATGCATAGACCTTTATAAAGAAATTCATGGCAAGTGCATTGTGGACAAAGAGGTGTTAGATGTGCTTCCTAAGCATCCTCACCCAAGACTTGATGAGGTACGTGAACATGTCTGGAACCATTTCTTTCTTAGTATGTAGAACAAAAGATCCATTGTCTCAGCAACCAACACTTCATTTTCACAAAGATAATTGCCGAAGAAATGCAAGGTTTACTTTTATTTGAGACTTCCTTTTTTTTCTTTTCTAAATACTGCATCCTCTATTTGTGTCCGTGATTTAAAAAGCGCTATGCGTCAAGGTTCAAAAATGCCTGAGGCGCTAGGCGCTCGCCCGAGCGAAGCGAGTCTCTAAAATATAAAAATATATAATATAATTAATAAATCTAATTATTTAACATTTTTAAATATAATTATTTAAATATAGTAATTTTAAATAAATAAAAATTAATGATATTAAAATCAAAATAATATATTTTTAATCTAATAAATATAAATACTATTATTAATATACTGTTAACAGTATATTATATACTGTTAAGAGTGTACTGAAGGAGAAGAAGGAAGAGGAGTGTAAGGGGGTGCTGATTGAGAAAAGAGGAAGCGGGAGCAGGAGCGGGAGCGAGAGCGACGAGCGGCGACAGCGGCAGCAGCAACGAGCAGCGGCAACGGGAGCGGGAGTGGGAGCAATGTCTGTTGTTTTCTATTATTTTTTCCTTCTCTTATTTGAATATTTTCAAAGTGGCTCAAAACATTTCTTGAAAATAAAGGAGAAATGTCTTATTTAGCTTGTCTACCTCTTGTTTTGGACTTCTCCTAGGAGTAAAAACAAGTGTTCGGTGCAATCCTTATTGAAGAGACAGCTGCAGAGATTGAAATATAGTTTTCTTGAAAAGCTTTCTTACAGTTGGTTGACACTTATTTTGTCTCCTCTGTAGTGTAACCTACACTGAATGGTCTGGAATATTTTTTTTGGTTGAATCAATATGCAACTTGACTTGTTTATAGGTGTGGGTGAAGAAACCGGTCAAGCTACATCTAGCTCTGGATTTTTCCAATCCAGAAGATTTTGCAGAATTATTATGTACCTGTATGTTATTCAACTGAAGTGTAAAATAATTATTGGTCTTTGTCCTTTTTATCTTAGCCTGTGCTTTAGATGTTTCTAATCCTTACCTTTTATGCATCTTCACATGACATGATACATAATGATATGCTTCTTACTTGGCGGCTTTTGTTCACATAATTGTTAAATTCTAAAATATTATATCAGGATATGTTGTTATTGAGTGGATAAATGGGCGATTAGATTAAAATGTCTTTTGCAGATCTTGTCTGTTGTTGGGCTTCTTCAGGATGAACTTGATCCTATGGTTTCTGTCATGAAAGTTGAAAAAGCTCCTTTGGAATCTTATGCTGATATTGGTGGCTTAGATGCACAAATTCAATAAATTAAAGAAGCTGTTGAACTTCCTCTTACTCATCCTGTATGAAGATATTGGAATTAGGCTTCCCAAGGGAGTTATACCATATGGAGAGCCAAGGTGAGAGTGTAGCATGTGAATTTCCATAACATGGACTTTACAACTTTGCCCCACACATTCTTTACCCTCCCTCTTCTCTATTCTCTCGATCTCTATTTAGTTACATTTGTATTTTGTGTTTATGTGTGCTATTTATTGGCTCTAACTCTAACGACAACACTTTATTGATTTGTATAGATTAGTATATCTACCAGCATTTATTATGAGTAAATAGAGAAGAGAAATGAGAAAGGATGTTTTTATTGCCTATGTACTTCTTCTTTACCAATGGATGTCTTTTTTTAAAAAAAATTGACCTTCTATTATTGCAAATTTATAATCTAGATGGTGGTGGCCAATTAAAGAGAAAAAGCTTAACTGAGTTTCACTTTAGAATTGGAATTATCTTTCTCTTGTGGGTTTGCGACCTAAAAGGTTTTTGCTATACAATTTGTGTTGCATGGTGATCTGAATGCTGTGGTATCTGCATTGGTTTTTGCAAAGTCCTAATTTTCGTACTATTTATGAATGCTTAATTTCAGGCTGTGGCAAACTCAACTTCGGCAACTTTCTTGCATGTTTTTGGAAGTGAGTTGATTCATAAATATTTGGGTGATGGCCCAAAACTATTGTATCGTCATCCACAACAGTCACCTGTGGCATCGTCGTTTACCACCACTGACGTTGTTTGCTACCACCAACTAAAATATTAAGATTACTTTTCTGCTCTTTATTTTCATATTTCTGTTGGTAAAATTAATGGTGTATGGGTAAATTGACTTAGATGTTTCACTTTCATAACTATAAGGATGCTAATGTAAATTTCTGAAGTGTAGGGACCGAGATACTAAAAATAGCTAACTATAGGAGGTAATATGTAATTAGTTTGAAATCAAAAGTATATGCTAAATTGTTTCATGTTGGAACATGTCTTTTTTGGAAAATAAGAAAAACAAACTAGAATGGCAATTCAGCAGGCGGGACTTCAACTTGTCACAAATGGAAATTGAAATGGAACAAAATATACACTGTATTGGCACATGACATTTCCAGAAAGGGTCAAGATTCATGCTGACTAAGTTGAACTATTGATCTTTTGCGTTTTGGCTAAAGCATAAAGAAGGATCACTAATTCACTCGCAGTTTTTCTCGGAATGTTTAATTGCCGCATGAGCAAGTGGTCTCATTGCCACTGTGGACCACTAACCTTCAAGATATTGTTGTCTAAACCGCGTATCATGTCATTGAGCAAGTTTTAGACATCAAAAAGATAAATCAGTTTATTCTTGTTGAAACTTGTAGGTCGTGCTAATTCCATTGAGTTTTAGACCACTAGTCTTTGCTTGTCGGCCTTATTCCATTTGGTTATTTGGCAAATCTTTACACAAGTGTTTTGGTCTCTCTTTATTGATCTATGTTGTTCAGTAGTTTTCGTCTCTCTTAATTCCCTCAAGTCGGAGCTCAGAGATCGTTTTTGCATTTTTGCATGTTTCTTTCCTCTCACCTCAATTATGTGGATTGTATTATAATTATTTGAATTTATTATATTTGCACATTTAATATTTGGGATTTGCCACATGACGAAGATCTGATTGAATGTTTCTGAACCAATTAAGCTTTTACCTTATTGTTTGATGATTATACTCAGACGTCAATGATGGGAAATAATTCACATAATTGACCCTAAATAGTTGGATTATAGTGTTTTTGTTGGTATAATGTAGTTCAAATATTGATTTAATTGTGTCGAAATGTTTGTCTTGATAGCGCCAAACCATTTTTACCAAATTTCTGCATAGGACACGTAGCACATTTAACGTTAATATCCCGTGAAACTTTACGATCTTGGGATTTTTGGTGTGATTTTGCAATAGAAATGCAGTGTGTATATATATATATATACTACAGCTTAGACTTTGTTCTACATTCTTTTATGTGGTCGATTAATTATGGAAAATAAAAATAAAAATAAAAAACTTTACGTGCCCATTTTAGAGTTCTATATATATATATATATATATATATATATATATATATATATATATATATATATATATATATCTCGCAAGTAAATAAGATGTTGAAGAATTATTAGCCTTGGAAATACACGTGGGCCGACTTCATTGGAGACGTGCCGTCGTGTTGGGTGCGGTGCTCTCCATACCAAACAGTTCACTTCACCGTCTCCCGTAGCTCTTTTCCTCTTCTTTGTCCCTATCTCGAGGGTTAGTTGTGCCGCACTAATCAGCGAACAGTATCCTCGTAATGAGCCACACGTGTCTCTTCCGTGATTATCTCAAACAAGTACTTCGATTTTCGGCTCGGACGTCGACCGAAAGCCACACTCAGCAAATTTACATGCCTTATGTCACCGGCAGTCTCACCGTGGGCCCGCTTGAATAATCGACACGGCCAATCGAAATGAATGGCAAATCAACACCAATTCTTTTTCTTTCTCCTCTAACTATCAAAATGAATGGTAAATTAACATCGTTTAGGATGTTGGTTTCATGTCTGAAACCATTTCTTGTAGAACAAAAGATTCATCATCTCCGCAACCAACACTTAATATTCACAAAGACAATTGCTGAAGAAATACAAGGTTTACTTTTATTTAAGACTTTCTTATTTTTCTTTTCTAAATACTGTAATCTCTATTTGTATTTTGTCCCCCATAAATAAAATCACATGATATCTCTTAAACAACTATTCATGACGAAATGGCTAAAATTTGATTAATGTTATGCAATAAAAGATCAAAATTTATGAAATTACATGGATGATGATGATCCTAGAGCTATATATTTCAGAGCCAAGAATAGTCTTTATGTTTGAATCACTCCATTGATGCTGTTGTTGCTTTGCTGGTAAGTATCGATGCAAACTATTTCTTTTATTTATTTTACGTAATTCGATAGGCCATTTTGACATTGTTAATTATTGCAGAATTCTTTTTTTTTTGCTTCTATGTCCATTGTTAATGGTCAAAAAATAAGTAGCATAATTTCATCAAAAGGTTACTAAGCTAATATTATAAAAATAATAGGTTGACTAATTCTGTTTTTTAAAGATGCGATGTGATCAACAGAAAT